GGGGGGGGCGTCTTTTGTTATCTTTGGACGAAACAGTCTTTTGCTCTGTCTCATGTGTCCCGCGATGCCACTAAATAGTTCGGGGGTCGAGCAGGACAGTGGCCAGGTGGCGCGTGTTGCAAGTATTTGCAACGACGCACCCACCCCGTTGCTTGTTCTACCGTGGATGTCAATTTGTGTTTGGCGCCAATGGCAACACCGCCGAATCTTACCCCCTGCTGACGCCCCCCGCCGCCCACGCACAAACACCCGTTGCCGTTCTCTTACCGCTGCAGCTCCGTCGCCGTCGCCGACGGTAGGGTTGACGCCGGCACCAAACCTGTCGCCAACGCTGTCGCCGACACCGGGACTGACACCCGGACCGACGCCAGGACCAACGCCCGGACGGACGCCGGCACCGATGCCGGGACCCTCGCCGGGACCGACATCGGCGCCGACGAAGGGGCAGACGGCGGAGCCGACGACGGGGCCGACGGCAGAGCCGACGGCGGGGCCGACGGCGGGGCCTATAGCGGCGCCGACGGCGGCACCGACGACCGCGGCAACGGCGGCTCCCACCTTTTCCCCGACGGTCGCGCCGACGGCCGTTCCCACGCTGGCGCCGACCGTAGCCGGTACCGCCGCCCCGTCAACGGCGCCTACGGTGGTGGTGGGAGGACTCGGGCCGGCGTCCGTGAAGGGCTCCATCTCGGCGTCCGGCGTGCCCGACGCGCTCGTGGAGGAGAAGGGGGAGGAGGCCCTGATCCAGGAGGTGAAAATAGTTTTTTTGACTGCTGTGTTTTATCAATTCGAAAGGCATTTGTGTCAATTGCATTGAAAGCCCTCTTAGCATTAGGGTTAGGGTTAGGTGCAGTGAGTCGAGTCAGTCGACAACGAGCACCCCCCCCCCCCCCCCCCCCCCCCCCCCCCCCCTTATCGCCCTCCGCGACAGGCCGTGTGTGCCCTCGTCGAGTGCGTGGACGGCCTGGAGTCCGTCATAGTAGGCGAAGCTTCGGTGAGAAGGGCGCGTTCGCTACTCACGTTCTCCTCCTCGAGGAACGGGAAGAAGGGGTTCCGGATAGGTCCACGGCGGCGGCGGCTAGCGGAGTTGGAAGACGTGCAGTTTGAGGTCCCCACACCGACCTCGGTCCCGGTCGAGTCGGAGGCAGAACCCCTGACGGGGTCGAAGCAGGCGGCGGATCTGTTCAACAAGGCTGCCGACGAGGTGAGAGGATACGCGGCCCTCAAGGACGAGAGTGAGAGTTGTAGTTTTGTTACCGTCAAGGTCATGGATGGTGTGTGTTGGCTTCGAAGAGTGCGGTACAGGTTTTGCGCTGCCTGTGCACTTTGTTAGTGGTTGGGTGGTTCTTTCGCCTACAACACCAATGTTTCTGTGCAAGCTTTGACAAGCCGTTCCTGGCACGTAGTAAATTGGACGAAGAAAGCCAACGGCGCCCGACGACCACAACGACCGAAATGTTGTTCCTTGTGGGGATGAAGGCACGTGCCTGGTGTCAGCACGGGAGCGGGAAACGCCAACACTCGCGTGAGCGCGTAATCGAACGAGAGCAAGATGCATCCAGCCGTTTTTTCTCCCACTCGCCGCTGTGAAAAAACTTTAACCCAGCCCCCACTACATCTCGAACAGGTACGCTCTCTTTGAGATATAATGTGTAAAGGATAGGTAATTATGTGTCTTGTACGATCTATCTATATTTCTACGAAGAACACACGTGTTTGATCCGCCAACATAAGCAGCGGAAGGATGACGGTAGAGCAATATCTTCTGCGGAGCCGCGTGCCCCCGCGGCCATTGCCCTGTCCCCACTCCCTTCTTGCCACATTAGAGCAACCGATCCACTGCCGTGGCCATGGATCACTTGGAACGAGCTTTGTAGGATCTGTGATTGCTACTCCCACACCATGACCCCCCCCCCCTGTGTTCATTACGCACGCAGTCGTCCCTGACAGGAGTCGCAAGCGCTCTTGGCATCGACGTGGCGGACCTAAGCTTCGGAGACCTGGCGTACTTCGAGGGGGATGAGTTCACCTTCTCCAGCGACTTCGACCAAGCTGGTGAGGAGGATCCGAGAGGGTTTTAAGAGAGCACAGCAGCCTATCTCCACTCGGGGTGGTGATCCTTCCTTTGATAATGACTGACGCCTTCGGACGGTCGTCTCTCATACTGAACTTGTATCGGCTGTGTGTGTGTTTTACTTCTTGAATCGACCTCGCTAACCGACTGACCAATGAAAAGGCGTCAGTCTCAGTGCCATTGAATTGTGTGTGTGTGTATGTTTTTTTTTTGTATTTGTGGGAGCGCCGAAAGCGTACCGGGAACATCAAATGCGCGCGCGCGCACACGCGCACACACAAAGCGTCCCCGTGGTACAAGTTATCCGGCTTTTAGACTGACGTTGGCCAGCCGGTATGCGCGATGCTATTAGGATAATTCAGTTGGCCGCCCTGTTTGTCCGATGTTCGGGTGAACGGCACTTTAGGGCACCGCCGCATGGTGCATTTCTGTCGTCGAGCCGCGTTCCGCACCCACGGTGCTGCTCACCTTCGAGTGCAGTGGACCATGCCCCTCTCGTTTTCAGCCTTAGGCGAGTTGGGAGTGTCACGGTCAGCACAAGGCTAGTTGTGCTAGATCGCCTCGCGGTCCTGGCTGGGACTTCTATCGGTACTTGCTTCCGGGGAGCCAGAATTACTTTTCCAAGCGTGTAGAACCAGGTTGTGGGAAAGAGGGGAGCTTGGGGCATGGACCACTGCACCGCGTCCGTGTGGTGCACCGCGAAAAGAACGAACATGAATCACGTGTGTGTTTCATTGTCTATGACTCAGCAAGTACAAGTACCTGATTATTTTTTGTTGTGTTCAATTTGAGGTATATTTTCCTAGACACCCCCGTGATGTCATTGATGCTTCTTCCCCAGGCACCCTCTGACCTCCCTCCCCCCTCTCTCTGTGTTTATATCTATCTCTCCCGGACCCCCTCTTTGTATCTCTTGCGGGGTACTGCGGTGGTGCATGCAACTTGACGGTCATGCCACGACTTTCCAGAAGACGAAGGGGCGAGCACCTGGGCGACGGTGCTCGTGGCGTTCATCCTGGTCACGGCGATGCTTCTCTGCTCCTGCTGCGCGTGCTTGGTGACCAAACACGCCACCGAGAAGGGGATGGCCGGCCGGAGGAGACGGGCCGCCGCCGCCGCCGCCGCCCGCAGCCCGCCCCGCAAGTCGGCGGTGATGCAAGAGGTGAGAGAGAGCCGAGAGAGGGGTGCGTGAAGAGGGGGTCGGTAGAGGAGAGAGGCGCGTGAAACAGGCGAATCTGAAGCCGATGGTGTCGGTGGTCCGACGACGTTTTGGCACCGGCTTCCCATTACTCCAACGAATCCATCTCTACCCGTGGATAAGGTTCCGGGATAAGTTAGCAATGAACCCACAGCAGCTTTCGCGGACCACACTACCTGTGTTTCTACGGTTCGCCGAGCAACATCCAGCGATCGATACCTCTCCCTGTGGGGAAACTGGCTCTACGAGGCAGTATCGCGATTGCTGTTTTTTTTGTTTATCTCTCGTTGCTTGTCGAGCCTGGCTTTACACTANGCACTTTCACAGAGGCTGTCCACGATCGAGGAAGAGCAGGGGCTTCGCGTCGGAAAGAGCGAGATGACGGCCTCCCACAGCATGGGCCCGAGCCCGCACCACTCCCTCATCCGCTCCACCTCCCAAGAAGCCGGCGCCGTCACCAGGTCCTCTTCCTCCGGCCGACCTAAGATCGTCCACCGCACCCACTCCATTGGCAGCGAGACAAACAGCGCGGTGTCCGAGAAGGTGCGGGGTCTTGGTGTATTGCGTCGGAGAAAAGCGGCAGTGGTAGGGATGATGGGGGCACGAAAAGTGGTCCAGTGGGATAGGGTGGGCGGGTGGGCGGGCGGCGGCGCGGGGCGACGGGGAGGGGTGTACTCAAAGCCGTGCGGGCCGTTGTCGTGAGACTTTTGACCTCGCATCCCTGCAAAGCCGGGATAAAGCGCGCCGGGATCTGACCGGCGTGGAGGTGAGGATAATGACGGCGGCGTGTCGTCTATTTCGTCTCAGGGGCTCTCTGTGGATGGGTGTGGCGGGCATCGGGGGGGGTGGGGGAGGTACGCGTTGCACCATTTTCGCTGGGGCCCGGATACTGCGGGGCAGAGCTCATGCGAGGATTTGTAAGACTACGACGATGAGGATACCGAAGACGTTGTCGAGGGAGTGAAAAAAATGGTCATCGTTGATTGGCTCGTGTTTGCGTCTGATGGCTGGAGACCAAGGTTTTGCCAGCGTCGCCCCAAGTCCAGCTCACCCTCATGCCCCAGTCTCAACCCCCCNCCGCACCTATGGAATGCTGGTCCTCTCGGCACGTTCCCATGTACTCCAACCGACGACCGTGACCCGTCAGTTCGTGTACACCAACCCGATGCACAAGCACGAGAAGAAGCTGTCCCCGCCCAACGAGTACGGCGACGACCTCGCGCAGCACTACGAGGGGTGAGTCGCTCTCTCTCTCTCTCTCTCACGGCAGAGGTTACGTGCAGGATCTAGAGGTCCCTGTATAGTGCCGGTAGTATATATGTGCCCAGAAAACTCACACTGGCACTTTTCAAAGTACAGAATGGCTTGATAATTCAGTGTATACCCTGCCGAAAACACCGGCAACCGGCGCTATCCAGCCGGCACTAAACAGAGACCTCTACTGTTCTTGTAAGGGTCCTCAAGACGGGGCGATAGTTCCGGTAACGGTGGTCGTGGTGGAGACGGAGACCTGGAGGATAACTCTCCCAACAGCCTAGCAGTACTGGCCGCGTGATGCACTTTCTGTATTCGTATGTATTGTGTGTGGCGCCTGCACTGTAGAGTGGAAACGATTGTTCCACTTGCCGGCGGTGACGACGAGACCGCCACCGTCCGTATTTAGACCAAACCGCACCGCCACGTAGACAGCAGTGGTCGGCACCCGCCTCTTCTTCCTATGTACGGCAATTACCGCAGTAAACACCCGGACCCCGTTTCATTCCCCCCCCCCCCCCCCCCCCCCCCCCCCCCCCCCCCCCCCCCCCCCCCCCCCC